AGCACGTGCAGCCTCCTGAGGCCATTTGGATCTAGCCCTAGACTTATCTGAAGGTCACCAACTTCCCATGTGAACTTGAGCACATGACTTTGCCTCCCCAGGCCTCGGTGTCCAGCTTTGTAGAGTGAGCAACCCCTCCTCAGGATGGAATGGAGGCTCAAAGGACAGAAGACCTGAGCAAAGTGAGTTGCAAACTATTGCTCTCTGCTCGCGTTTACTGAGTGTGAATTCCAACCTGGAGGTGAGCCAACCGCAAAGTGTGTAGGCCTCACAGGTTCAGCTGCATTTACCTGGCATTCAGGTGTGGCCCAGTTTCTGTTTGGGGTTTGTTTGTGTTTGATTTCAAAGACAGGGAAACTCCCTTGCCCTGGTGATGTGGGTGGGGTCTGGTCAACAGAGTTGCCAGGGGAATCCCAAGGGTTGGAGACCCTGATAACCCCCCACAGCGATCAGATGGAAACTCACCTCCCAGGAAGGAGGAGGAGCAGAGTGCCTACCACAGGGACAAGGTGTCCCACGAAGTCAGGTGACACCAGTGTGCGTCCAGTTCAGTGGGCAAGTGTGGGTCATTTGCCTTCTCCCCAGCCAGTGTGCTGGATTTATGATTTGGGGAGTCACCTCTACCCTCCAAAGGGGAGCAAGTGGAGACCTAGGGATAGCAGGACTATCCTGGATCTCCCCGGCTGTGGTCATGCTGTATGGGCATTCTGCTGCCAGGTCCTGTCCCCGCCGGCCAACACGCCTCTGCCCCATCCCCTCCTCATTGAACTACCAAGTGATCTTGGAGTGGCAGAACTTCCCAAGTCTCCATCCTCAGCACCCCCTGCTTGAGACACCCTCTCCCCACCCCCCGCCTCCTCCTCCCCCTCTCCCCCTGCCTCTCCTTCCCTCCCACCCCTCCTAACTGCTCAGTGTTTCCTTTTAGAACTCTGTGTTGCCGTCACCTCCTCTGGGCACCGCCCAGGGTCCCCAGGTTTACTGTGATCCCAGGATGTGCACATTTCCTCTGCTCACCACCCCTCCCCATCACTAGCTCTAGAGGCTGTACCCTCCCTGGGGCCTCTCCACAGCCTTTGTAAGCTGTTCCTTCAGCCCAGTGTTCTCCAAATCCCTGATACTGGCTTCCTCCAGCATCCATCTTGGCACACCTGTCTCTATTTAAGCAGTGGAAGCTTACAGGGGAGGGGATCACATTTGAGCCATTCTGCTTCCCAGGGCAGAGGATACAGAGTGGACTCAGGAATAGTCGGAGGTGAGTGGTGTCAGGACTCGGTAACCCCCCACCCTTGGGGCTGGAGGAACCAAATGCAACGGCAGTGAATCCCTGCCTCTATCCATATCCAGACACAAAGGCTCCTTGACGTGCACAGTGCAGCCTGGCAGGGGTGGAGAAGGCGAGGAGGCTCTCAGGAGCCGGCACTGTGCTGAGTATGGAGACCAAGAGCAAGCAATGCAATATCTAACATCGTTTCAGAGGGACGCTGTGAGCAAACCAAGCCACACCCAGGGAGCCCTCGGGATCGTGGTGGGTGCTATGTGACAGAGGCCTTGGGACAACCTGGAGACCAAGCCAGGGGCCGCTTTGGTGGGTGGGTGACCTTGAGCTATTGGATGACAGCAGGGAAGGGTGGAGGCTGGGGAAGACTGAGCAGCCATGGACTTGGAGGAGATAGATGGGGACTTACTGTCTTACAAGACCCCTTCTGACACTGAGGACTCCTCAGGGGAGCTCTTGCCCAGGGCAAGCCCACCCACCACTTGCTCCTCAACCCATCTGGACTGAAGCCCCACGTGGGCCATTCTCCGGCTGCTCTCCCATTTCATTCTCACAATGATCCTGTGAAAAGACTGTTCCTACTGCCATTCCACACATGAAGAAACTGAAGCTCAAAGAGGTTAAGCCCCTTTTCCAAGGTCACACGGAGTCAGAGAAGCAACCACACACACACACACACACACGCACACACACGCATGTGTGTACGTGTGTGTGCATGTGTGTGTATCCAGATGTATTTGACCTGCAACCAGAGAGTATTTCCCCAAGACAAATGCATCCACTTGCCTATGGCCTGCTCCCCCCTCCAGTGACACCAGCTCCCCAGGGACAGGCTGGCAGCAGGACACAAAGATGTTCAGGGTAGGCCCAAGTGTGGGAGAGAGCCTCCCCTCTCTGGAAAGGATGCTTCCTTACGTGTGAGTAGATGAACAGGCAGGCCACGCTGTGCCCGCAGTGCCCCACACTCATCCAGAGCCAGGCGTGTTGGCTAATGGGTATCATTTCAGCCCTTTCAGTTCTAATAGACACTGCGCTGTCATAAAGACTGTCATTTCCCGCAGCTCGCACAGATAATCAGCGTGCTGGCTGCCTGGAGGGCTGGGAATAGCAGGCTCCCGGCACGTCTTCAAAGTCTTCGAAGATGCCTCTGCCATTCCAGGCCTTCCTGTCCTGCAAGGCTTGGGGCGCTGCCCTGAGAGCCCAGTGGGCTCTCACTCGATGCCCAGCTCCCCCTAATCTGGGTGAGTCTGTGTCCTCTCAGCCTGGCTTCAACACTTCAGTACCATATGACCTTGAACACAGCACTTTCCCCTCCTCAGTTTCTCAATGGTAAAATAAGGCAGTGATGCCTACCTTGCAACATGCCTTTTAGTGAGTTGATGTATTGTAAGCATCTCCCATGCATGGGATGTGTAATTATGATGTTTGTATGTTTTTCAGACAAGGAAGCTGAAGCCAGTGAAGGAAATGGGCTTACCTCCCAAATCACACGGTGGCAAACTGGGCCTAGAACTTTTTGTTTTTTAAGTCAGAGGTTTGAAGATTCATAGATTCACAGAGTCCTTTCCTGTTTGGGGCACAGTCTGGCACTGTCTCATCAAATTCTTATGATGAGCCGCTGAGGTGAGCATTATTAATCACCTTCCAGGTGAAAAGGCTAAGCTGAGAGGAGTGGACTTGCCCAGAGTCATATGGTTGGCAAGTACTAGAGGCCCAGCTTGACCCTACATGATCTGGCTACAGAGCTAGAGTCCCTGGCCTCTGCACAGTAGCCCCATACCACAAGTTTCTCTCTCTCTCTCTCTCTCTCTCTCTCTCTCTCTCTCTCTCTCAATCTCACACACTCACACAACTTTGAGATCAGGCTTGGCCTATGTCGGGCTGTTCTCTCCTCCCCACCACTATAGGCTGACAAAGATAAAGCCTAGGCTGCATCCAGAGCTTTCTCACAGGATGTCTGGTCATCTCCAGACAGGGAAACTAAGACCCAGGGTGTCTGTGAGGTATTCATAAATAGCCTGGTGAAGGCCAGGTCAGAGACAGAGCAAGAAGGCAAGGGGAGCAGGAGGGAGGATGGGGCCTGGGCCTCATACACCCCAGAGTGGGTTTAGAACTCGACTGCTGGCACATCTACTTCAATGTACTTTCCTAGTTCATTGTATTACGTCCTCATAGCAAGACAGAAACCATAGTAACATTGGCAGATGGGGAAACTGAGGTTCACAGAATCAAAATGACTTGTCTAGGCTCGTGGAAAATGCAAGCTTGAACCCAGTTCAGTTCTTAATGTCCAGTCAACTCTGTCTCTCTTGCTTAATTCATTTCTTACTTTCTCATCTTTTTTTCACATTCCCAACTTGCCTACCCCCTCCCTCCTTACTTCAGCTCTGCAACACTCAGATCACTAAGGCAGGAATCTCAGGTGACTTATACGTTGCTGTGTCCTGGAGACTCACAACCACAGATACGAAATCTGGAGCCCAGGGGACGCTTGTTGGTTGTTGAATGCAGTGTAATTGGGTTTCCTTTTTTTTTTTAAACTTGATACCAGTGGTCAGCAGGGTCACTTTGGAGATTTCTATTATTATACAAGGACTACTTGAGTGATCATTATGCAAATATAAAGGTGAGCATGGAAAGTGGTGTAATATAAATGGATTTTTTGTTTATTTTTCATTAACAAGATTGTTCCACTTCTTGGTATCAAGGAGAGCTTCAGAGAAGGGTTGATGGGTTTGCATAATAATTCAAAGGATTCAATCCCTCACCACCCCTCCACCCCCTGTGTTGTGGGTGGACTGGAGCCACACTGAATGAAGCCCTAAGACAAGAGAAGGCACAGACAGGGCCACAGGGAGCTCATGTGGAGGGCAAGGATGGATGGGCTCTACCTTAGCCCAACATCTGGGCAATGACAGAGATACATGGGACTTCAATAAGCTATGGACCCAAAACAGACATGTAAGGAAAAACTCCATCATGAGAGAGAGAAACCCCTGTCCACAGCCTCATTTCTGAGGATCATGTGGAGCCTACCTGTGGTTTCTAGGGAGACCGACCCAGCAGGGCTACCTCTCCATCTGTGAACCAGCCTCCACCAGGAAGCACAGGACAGATCTTCAACAGTGACATCGTGTGGCCGGGGATGAAATGACAACACTAGACGGGGCTTCAGCTCCTGCTCCCAATTCCTGGAATTCAGAGGCCAGAGCTGGCCTGCTTTAGACAGATCTTCACAGCATCTGGATCGATTCAGGAGGGTGGAGGTCCCTGGGTGGATATTGAGCCTGTTGCTAATGAAAGCTTGGGATATCATTGGGAAAATAAGGTAAGAATTTGTGAAGCATTCATACACGATGCAGAGTGAATCCCACCCAATCGGCTGCACTGATCGCCACTGTCCAAGATGGTAACCAGTGACACATATGGGCGGATCCTTTTCTGCAGCAGCATATCTTTGAAATTAATAGCAGTGATTGCATTCTGATACACAGGGGGCTGCAGTTACAGAGCTCTTACCCAGTCATGCTCTTCTCTGAGCCTCACACCAGTCCTGCAAGGTAGCAGGGTGGAGGTGGTCCCTAGGAAACAGAGGCTCAGAGAGGGACATGACTTGCTCAAGGGTCACCTATGAGTCAGTCATCAAGATGCCATCCTGCCCCTGTTGTGGGTACCCAAGCCACCTCCCAGGGATGTCAGATGCCAGGCGTTCCTCCCTGCCGGCTCACAGCAGCATCAGGACCACAATGGCAATGACCATGAGGACTCCAGCCAGGATGCAAAGACCCAGGAAGACGATGTCACTGGTGTCCTGGGAGACCATGGTCACTGGACCCTCCGGCACCTCCACTTCATCCCCGGGTGGCGCCTCCTGGAGGTGTTCAGCCGTGGCAGCATAGGGCCCAAGCCAGTCGGAGCCAGACAGCAGGTGGACAGAAGCCTCCTTGCGTCGGGGCTCACAGCGGACTTCATACTCATGTACATCCTCCCGCCCGGCCGCCGAGAAGTCAATGTACAACACGCTGACGATCACTGATGTGTTGTTTCTTCTCTGTGGGGACCAGGGCATGTAACACACCTGATGCAGCCTGGGCTGAGCCTGTTCCCCCACGTACCCGCCTAGCCCAGATTCAAAGCCTGGTCCAGCCACTGACTCCTTCCTATTGACTCGGAGTCTTGGAGGTTGTATCTATAAATCGGACAGTGTTGAGAGTGGGCTGTCCCACTTATAGACAGAGACCCCCATCTATAAAAGGCCAACGTCCCATCTGATGGCAGAGCCCATGACCGTGTAAGCAATAATGGCTAACACCTGGGAGTCATGTTTCAGGCTCTGTGTTTTGAATGTGGGAATTCGTTTAACTCTCACAACAACTGTCTTACTTAGTGCCATTAGCATTCTCCCATTTTGCAAATGGGGAAACTAAGGCCTGGTCTTGTCTGAGGTCAAAGGGAAGAGAGGGTATTCTGACCTAGACCTGCCCACTTTTAACTATGTTGTTTGCTGTCACATCTCACTCCAACCAAAGAGCAGATGGTCAGTCCCTACTCTAGGAAGGTTTGCAGAGGTGCCTACTGAGGCCCACAGGCAATAACTTGCCCAGAGTGAGATCCAAAAGCAAATCTCCTGCCTCTCAGTAGCTTTGTCCCTCATGCACCGTGGGCTTCCTTTAGGAGCCTTTTCTTCCCAGTTAGCGAGCAGCAGCGTCTCTATCCTAACACCACTTGTCCTGGATGGTACCCTCAAGTTGGGAAGAACTATTAAAAAGCCAGATGGGAAGAGTTATTAAAGAGCACATTGTGGATGAAAGAGATAGGAGTTGGGTGGCCTTGAGCTAGAAGGACATGTGGACCAGGGCACAAGAGGCCATTCTGGTGTGGTTTGTAAGGTAGGACAATTCTCCCTTCCCACTCCAGATCCCCCACTGCCGCTACTGCTCAGGCCACCCAGCCTGCCTTGCGTGTGGATGGAGGGAGGACCCCAGTGAGTTGGGCTTCCGCAACTCGTTAAGTCACAGGAGCTGCCACGCCATAGGATTCTGGCCTGGACCCTTAGAAGGACTGAAAGAATGTTACAGGCAACTTGGCAGATTAGGGACCTCTTCCAACTTTGGATTTCTGAAGGTTCTAGATCTCTAGTCTCTAAAGGAGCCTTCGGTGTCCTCAATCTGTCAGCCTCCCTTAGCCCTGAGAGGAGTTTGTGACATGAGTTTGGGGGCTACAGAATCAGGACATGAGCAAAGCAGGACAGGACCTGAGACCGCAAGAAGACCACTGTGTGTGTCGGGGGGGAGGTCACTCTGAGCCACAAAGGATGGAGGATAACCCTAGAGACTAGGAGTAGGAGGCTGGGGGCTTTCATGAGTGGCAAGGGAAAGGAACTGGGAGGGTTAGTCTCTAACGTTTTCACAGAGGGGTGCACGAAAGGTTAGCCTTGATATTTTTTATTGCATTTGGCTAGCTGAGTCTCCTTGACAGCAATTCTATATAGATTGGGCCTCAGGGTCTAGGACTTTTGCAGGTTACACTAAGCATCTGAGTCTAAGATCCTCACACTCCACATTGCTAGGTATTAACTCATCAGTTCTGTGGTTCTGAGCCTTGGATTGAGGGGGAGCTCTGAGACTATATCCCTAAGTCCTTGGTTCCAGGACCTCATGAGTCTCTGGGAATCTTGGGATCCTTTGTCTTCGTCATCCCCCAATTTGATGAAATGTGCTTCTGTCCCCAAGAAAACCCCTGGGGATTCAGGGCATGGAGTGGGGTGAGAACAGAATGCCAGGATTTTACTTCCCTTCTAAGGTCCAAAAGATAGTTGCTGAAAGAAGGCTAGAGGAGGCAGGGGGGAGAACTGGAGGGGCAAGAGGCACATAGCTAGCGGTGAAGGGCAAGGAGTGGTTTACTGGAAAGAACATCCTATCTGCCAAGCCAGGCTGCAGGTCCCCAGATGCCAACACTGGAGTGTATCTCCAATAGAGGTGAGCCATGCTTCCTTCTGTCCCCATCTCCCTTCCTGCTCTCTTTCACACAGTCCAAACTTCCAGGGTGCCAGGCCACTGCTCAGTACTCTCTGAGAGCCCCAAGCCTCCGTTCACAGGCTCCTCCAAATCTAAGGATGGTAGACAAATTTTATTTGTGAGCTTTGCAGCCTTCAGAGAGAGGGTGACCCTGTTACTTGAAAAACACTTTCATTTGTGGAACCCTTGGATGGATTTGGATTGTCTAGCTTAGGGAGGGGTGGGGGTGAAGAGCAGGGCTGGATGAGTCTGTATATTAAAGGGAGGAGGACTTTGGTGTCCCTAAGGGAGAGGAGGGAGGGGAGGGGAGGAATAGCAAGGAACTTGGGTAATGGTTACCACCAGGACCTTTTTTTTCTTTCTTTCTTTTTTTTCTTTGACAGTTGTGGGGCTTGAACTCTGGGCCTGGGTACTGTCCCTCAGCTCTTCAACTCAAGGCTAGCGCTCTACCACTTGAGCCACAGCACCACTTCTGGTTTTCTGGTAGAAAATTGGAGATAAGAGTCTCACAGACTTTTCTGCCTGGGCAGGCTTTGAACCGAGATCCTCAGATCTCAGCCTCCTGAATAGCTAAGGTTACAGGCGTGAGCCACTGGCTTACCAGGACCTTTTTAGAAGAGTGGTCAGTGGGCACTGTGGGCTCTTGCTGGGCTGCCTGCCAGGTCCCCTCTCCTAACTTCTTTCTTTGAATTATCTGCTATGCTGAGGCTACACAGAGAAAGACCTCAAGATGAACAAGAGCCTAGAAGGACTGAGTGAGCTGTATCCAGGCTTGTGCAGTCACTACTACCAGAAGGAGAAGCTAGAGAATGGTAGGTACCTTTTAGCTTGGCTCGGAGGCCCTCCCTCCTGCCTGCCCTCCTTCTATCTTCCCCACCCCTACCTGAGACTCAGTGCCGCAGGTGTCAAAGCGGGCCTGGATCCGGAAGTTGCTGCCGACTTCTTGGGCAGCACAGCTCCGGCTGCCCAGGTAAATCTTGGTCCGCTCCAGTGGGGCCAGTGCCTGTGCTGAGATCAGGATCTGGAAGTCTGTGCGGGAGCAGCTCACATTCATGGGCACCACTTGGAGCAGGAGGGGGAAGCCGGAGGGAGATGTTAGGGACAGGCAGACTGATCTCATGTCCCCAAGCCCCACCAAGGGAAGTAGATGGGAAAATCAGCACCCAAAGTACAAAAAGCTCTTACAGAATCCTCCAGAGCATACTAGGGGATATTTTACATGCATGACTCCTATTGTAAACTCTTTGGGACTGTGCACAACACAGTGTATCTGATTTTCTCTAAGCCCAGCATGAGTTTGGCAGTCCTGAACACTAAAGGAATGACTGACTGAGTATAATAAAGGCTACTTGATGGGCACTGGTGGCTTACACCTGTCATCCTAGCTACTCAGGAGGCTGAGATCTGAGGAACATGGTTCAAAGCCAGCCCAGGCAGACAAATCTGTGAGACTCTTATCTCCAATTAATCAGGAAAATCCTGGAAGTAGAGAAGTGGCTCAAGTAGTAGAGCCCCGCTTTGGGTAAAAAAGCAGGAAGCTCTGAATTCAAGCCCCAGTACTGGCACAAAAATGAATGAATAAATGAATGAATGAATAAAAGCTACCCTTGGCCAGGCACGGATGGCTCACACATGTAATCCTAGCTACTTAGGTGGCTGAGATATGGGGATCATAGTTCAAAGCCATCTCAGGCAGAAAGGCTATGAGACTCTTTGGGGGGGGGTCCGGTTGTGGGCCTGAACTCTGGGCCTGGGTGCTGTCCCTCAGTTCTTCAGCTTAAGGCTAGCACTCTACCACTTGAGCCACAATGC